ATGGCTCCACTGTAATTGATATTCTGCTCTCTCTGTGAGGTTTGTATATTTTAAAATCTTTTTTATCTTTTTTAAAAAAATCTGTGATAATGTTTTTATTCTAATAATAACTTTTTATCTTTTTATAATGCCTGTTTTTATTCACTTGTTATTTTATTTTAATTGTTGTACACTGCCCAGAGTCACTTTGTGTGAGATGGGCGGCTATATAAATGTGATGTATAAATAAATAAAAATAAATAACCATATTAAAAAAAAAATCAGTGCACTTTGCTGTCTAAGATTGCCCCCTACAGATTTATCTATAATTACCCTGTATAAGCATTATAGTCTAACACATGAAGCAAGAAAGATCAACTCTTTCGAAAGTAATTTTCTTTGCTTCAGAAAAGAGAGGTAGTGAATTACAACACTTGCCCATCAACTTCATTATATTAGCTTATAAATTAACAAAGATTCTAATTGCAAATGATTAACAAGCTAACTGTTCTGGAGGGAAAGTAGTAAATAATATGATTATGACAGTCCATGACTTCTTAAGGGCCCCAGGCTAGGGAAATCTGGCTTAAGCCAAGGCAGATGTAGAGATTGTCTTGTCTATGATAACACTCTTCTTCTCACTTTACCAAAAAACATTGTTTCTCTGAAATAAATTCATGTTTTACTAGCTGTCACTGCATACCTACTCCAAGGTCATATCTGTGTTCCATTAGACTCAGTCTCTCCTCCTGCATGCAGAGAAAAACCTGGAATGGTATTATGGGAATGAATTACAGACCCACACACTTTCCTTAACTCCTTCCCAAACCATCCTGTTCTACTTTAGAAGAAAACAGAAATAAAGTTGGCAAAGATAATCAAGAACTGTTAGAGGAAACAAGAGACAACAAATCAATGTAAAAAAGAGAGTAAAAATAACCCCACTTTGATTCTGTATGGTATAAGAGGGGGCAGAGGGAAACTCTGGGAGGCTTTCAAGACTCTGTTTTTATATCTACAACAAGAAGGTAGAATTCCAGCAGTCTTTGCAGTGTCTGTTTCCTAACCTGGTCTATCTCGAAGAGCTACAGTACCCCCTTTAGTCATCTCCTCTTATTGAATAAGGTGATTACAAGATTCTTTTACCCCCAAATCCTAAATTCTCTCACTAAGGGACCCTTCAGGTATCACCAGCTTCTCCCAACCCTCCACCTTTCCTCACTGAGAATCTCCCACTAATTACCCCATCACACTCCAGGCACCTATAGACCTAACCTTCTTCCCAAACCATTTCCTCTAATCTCTTCCAGTCAGCCTCTATCTTACTCTCGTTCTTAGCTCCACAAACCCCTGCCACTTGGGCATGGCCAACCTCTTCCATTCTTTCACATTCCTCTCAATACCCTCTCCCTAGTCCTCCACCAGTCTTTTCACTTCCTCAAACAATTCTTTAATTCATTTCTTCCACACTCTTTTCTCTGCACCTCAAATCTGACCTCAGACATAAGTTCTCCACCCACTCTACTTCAACTCCAGATACAACTGCAATCACTCTATCCTCTCCCAGTCCAATCTCAGTTCAACTTACTACATATCTTGATGTCATTACCAGGTGTGCTGCCAGGAGCCTGTAAGATTATAGAGCAGAGGGCAAGAAATATATTTGCATTATGAGTGAAACTAAATGTATGGAGAAGGTATGAAGAACTTCATATGGGATAGTAATTAATAAGCGTATGCATGATCTTCTAACTGAAATCAAGGAAAGTTAAGAGATGGAAATCCAGTGTTATTTAGCTCAATAAATAAAATAAATATAATAGCTATATTATCAGCTTCTACCTTGTTAGGTTTTAGGAAATCATTAAAAATAGAATTGTTTAAGAGAGCGTTTGATTTATAGATGTCACCATTTATTTTTATTGCTTTTTGATTGACTGCTTCATGATTTTATCTGTGGTTTAATGTTTTGGGACTATTACTGATCATAGTTCTGCAACTGCATTGTTCTGTCAATGCTTTATTGTTATGACTGTAACTCAACAAGAGTCTCTTGATTTGCAGTGGGCAAAAATTTTGAATAAATAAATACAATGGACAGAGATTGTGTGATATGAGTATTTCTCACACATATCCCCTTTTTCAGCCCACCTTAATTTCAACGAATGTATTAGAGCAGTAGCAAAAAAAGGGGGGGGGGGACTTGACCAGTGTTAAATACAAAATTCCACTGAAGAACATGCCAAATCTTAGCCATTCTTGTATCTCATGCAGAATTGAAACAAAACACTAGTGCAAGTAAGCTGTTCTTCACATATTGCATTTATATGTAGCTTTATTTTTGAGGTAAATTTAATATTTTACAATACAGTAATGAGTCTTTTATAACCACGGATATGTTATGTGAATGCAGACTGCCCTCTTTTTTATCTCTTTTGAAATGCAGTCACTGACCTCACTGTCTTATATTACAATATGTTGAAACTCCTGTAGTTTTAATTTATGTATGGTAGCTTACTGAAACATGGCTGCATGCTTTAGTAACTTCTAAGTATTTTCACAAGTCAGGAAGAAGCTGAGGCTCATTTGAGATCAGAGACATCTATGTATTCTTGATTTACCTTCCCGCCCTGGTGATCCCTAGGGATATTGGACAACAGCACATGGTATTCTTGCCAGCCTGCCAGAAAACATGTTGCTTCCTTGGAACTCAGTTCTTTGTCAAGGTCAATCTCAGTCATTTTGCACAAGCATACTATATTTAAAACCTTTTGCATGCCTTAATAAGCCTGAAGATTATCAGTGAGGGATGGAAATGCTATACATGAACAAGGAGCTTTCGTGAAGCCAACAGTATATTTTAAAATGACAAAGGGGACTTAGGGGAATGGAATCCCCCATTCCACTTAATTAGTTTCTGTTCATATTCAGCAAGCATCTGACGAAAAGGCACAGGAATAGAGAACACTATCTCAAGCCAAGTTAACCTATCCAGTACTCTCTCTATTGATTAGCACCAGATCTCCAGAGTTTTTAACCAGGACTATCTAGACAATCCAGAAAAAGGTGGGACCTGCTGCACACAAAGCCCTTTGGTTTTCTCAAATAGGGCAGTGTCCACTGTCTACAAGTTTCTACAACCCTGCAAAACCACACCCACACAACCATTCTTCCTCAGTAAAATATTTCTGTTTATATACACGAATGCTTCTAAAAGATACACGCTTACCTTCAACATTGGACTTGACATAGAAGAATAGTTTGAGTTCCTTTGGATTCTCAATGAGCAAGTTGGCTGCCTGTTCCAAGCCCAACTGTCTAGCTCTTTGTGCTTTAGTTCCTTTGCTTCCAGTTTTATATGGTGCATACTATAATAGATAATATGAGACTAAGTATAAGGGAGAGAGGGATGGAAGTAATTTTGTTGTCACAAGTTTTCAAGTTTTTATGCTTTTTCTCCCCTCAGAATGCAAACAAGGTAATAATGTCTAGCATACAGAAGCACAGAGTTATCAGCGATCATTTAGGTTAACTGGTCCAATTGTCTGCTGAGGTAATTGATTATACCATCAACTGCACTTGAAGTTTTTTTCTAACATTCAATTGAAACCTGCCTTGTTGTAACTTAAATCCATTATTCCGTTTTTGCCTCTTAATTGTTTTGGGCATTCCAGCTAGAACAGCCAAAGCCCTCCTGACCCCCACAGTGAGCCAACCTGGCATATACAGTATACTTGTGACTTATCCTCAGACTGCTTTATACAAATATGAAAAAACACACTCATGCTCCTTTTAATTCATTCTTCTTTTAAAACAAGTTAGTTCACACACTGTGGTAAATTGTAACATAGCTGGTTTTGCTTAGCTTAGTGTGCTGTATGAAACCAACCAACTCTAATGTTTAACCCATGGTTTATATTTAGCATAAAGTGAGAACCTAATTGAGTGTCACTCAATAAACAATGACTTCTATGATGTGTGACTCCAGTGTTAGAGGCAAATCCTACTGAAATTCACTAAATTTTACTTCTAACATTGGGATTATATTAGTGTTTCTCAACCTTGGCAACTTTAAGATGGGTGGACGTCAACTCCCAGAATTCCCCAGCTGACCGGAAAATTCTGAGAGTTGAAGTCCACCCATCTTTAAGTTGTCAAGGTTGAGAAACACTGGGATTATATAATAAGGTAGACTAACAGTGTATCCTGAAAATGAAACCCAGGATTCCTGGAACTTTAGGGGGTCTTCATCAATGAAAAGATCAATTAACTGTTAACAACCTTTCCTGGGTAGGAATTCATCCATAATCTTTAATCTTCTCCTATGATTCATAACTCCAAGGACATTTCAGTCTAATTTTTAGAGTACATGTTTACAGCATAATTCTATACACTTATGAAAAGATCCCACTGAGTTTTATGAGATCCCTACATAAAGGAGTATAGGATAACAGCCTTAGTTCACGGGGAGTAAAAATACAGATCTCAAATCCAATGATTTATAAAAGCTGGCCTCAAACTGGTAATTAAAAGCAATTATGCAATGAGAATGTTTTGAGCAAATGCCTTCTTCAAAGGCAAAGGATGTTCATGTTTCTTAACATATTATACTGATTAAAAGGAGTAGAAATATCTCATTTACAGCTGATTCAAGCAGTGTTCCCAATCTGATTTGCAGATTGTGAAATAGGCTAGATTTTGAGTGAGAATGAAATGTGGAGGGAGGTTTTAGCAGCAGAGGCAACAGAGATCTTTCCAGACGTCACCATTGCTTTTCCTAGCAGATTCCCAGGAATTACGCTAAAACATCCCATACGAATTGTATTTTGGATAGCTTTTGGCAGCTTTCACCATAAATTTCAATTTTCACTAGGTAAAATAGCAAAGAAATGGAAGCAATTTTAATTGCCTTACTTCCTTTCCAGATCCATTTTAGTTCCAATCAGTATAATAGAATATAGAACCTAGAAAAAAAATACCTGGGTAAAATTCAAGGGGCAATCTTTACAAAAAAAAATTAATTACAGTGAAACTTCTATTTACCAAAGCTTGATGCAACAAACTTTGCATGCAACAGACCAAACTTTGACTGTGCTTTTCATCACTTGCATAATGATGCAATGATGCAAATAATGAAAAATAATGCAAATTATATAAATCTCCACAGCCCTATGCTCTAGTTCAATGGACATTCCTGAATAACAGATACTTTCTCCCCACAATTAGTCCATTAAAATGAGATTTCACTGTGCTTCCAGGTACCACCATAAGTCTGCCTCTTCCTTCCTTCTTCTGGTTTTGGTAACCTGCCTTTATAACTCTCTCTTGCCCAATAGGCCTAGCTTGTATCATGCACGAAGCAGGATTGAGCCCTATTTCTGTGGTTCAGTGCATGTGCTGCATTTAAGAAATCTCAGTTCTTGGCACTTCCAAGTAGGACTGGGAAAGACTAAATTCTTAAACTGCGTAGAACTGTTATTAGACAATATAGGAATAATCTAATGCAGTATAAAATTGCTTTTCAATAGGTTATGCCCAAAATCAGGAACAATTTACATAAAAAGGAATACCAATGTTTGGAAAAAATCCAATGCACAATAAATATCTGAAAACTTACGTTAAAAATACTATACTAACCACATGATCCAGCTCCTCCAACGTTTTACAGTTTAACAATGCAGTTAAAATACTTCCTGAGAGCTTTTCTTCTTTCTCAAGTTTTTGTATTGAAACATGAACCTTTTTTGCTAAAGTCCTAAAAAACCAAGTATAAGTGGTAGAATTAAAAGTTCGTATTTAATGATACATTTATAGAAATACTATTCCTAACTCTGCATGCATCCCTGAGCCAGTATCATTTCACTGCAAAACTTTCGATATAGGTAGTCCTTGCTATACAGCCACAACCGGGACCGGAATTTAGGTTGCTAAGCAATTTGGTTGTTAAGCAAATTGGAGCTGATTTTACATTTTTACGATGGTCGTTAAGCAAATCCAGGTTCCTCAATGGACATTTTTTGCCAGAATTCGTTTAACTACCATATGACTTGCTTAACGACCATGGTGATTCACTTAACAACCATCATAAAAATGTCGCAAATCACGATCACGTGACCGTGGGGGTCGTAAAGCACTTTTCCCGAGGCCATTATAATTCCAGACCATTGTTAAACGAATGGTTGTTAAGCAAGGACTACCTGTATGTTGTCCATAGGGATTCTCAAACTGAACTGCTCCATTGGCTCAACAGAAAAGGAGGCACTTTCTCAAGTGAAAACGATAACAGAAAGCACCTTCTTGTAGAACAACAATTAATGTAATCAGCTTTCACTGAGAAAGAGTTTTGCAAGTCAGTCACCTAGATGATAATGCACTTTATTTACATTTACCTAAGAAATACAATGAAGAGCTGTTAATAATCACAATGGGAATAAGTTTAGATGAGCCATGGACTCACATACTTAAAATTACCCAATTCTCCAGTGTAGTCACAAGGAAGAAAATGGAAGATAGGATTCTGCTGATAATTATTCACAGTTTCATATTATGTCCAAGTCTTGGATTACTTATATTATTGAATTTTAAAGAAAATTCAGTGACTTTCCCTACTGCACTTACCCCCATTATGGTAATATTGGCCATGCAAGTGATTGTAGGAAGAGATGGAATCACTGGAAGATATTATTGTATGACACCTCCATTCCAAGAATTGGGGAACTGCTAGGAAGCTCCCACACTATTTGTTAAAGGTAGTCTGCAGCTGAAAGGAGAGGCTCCATTCTAGTTGGCAAAGGCATAGGAGTTGTCAGGCTCTTTAACAACTGCCTAAAATTGAAAGTGATTCTTTCCAACAATGTTTCTCACGGAATCTCTTTGACAAGGTTTATTTGAAAAGTAACGTGGTTACAAAATCTCCAGCAATGAACAATTTTCTACTTAGAATTAGCATTAGGGCAGAGACTTTTTTACTTTTTTTTCTACGAGCTTCTCTGATATAGTGAGGTGGTCTTTTCACTTATAACTGAGAAGCTTGCAGCTGGCTACTTATATCATAATCTCTTAAATCAATCTAGGAATCTACCTCTTTAAAAAGAAGCCTCTCCATTATTGGAATTCAGACAAGCTATGAGTGTCTGTAAGCATTCCCCCAGTGAATTCCTCTGTTAACACTTGTAAGACTGTAGTAATTGCTTGAGGACGAGATCCTCAGAAGTAGCAACCAAGTTAAAAACAATGTTGATTTGAACTTTCTATTTCAGCAAAAAGAAAAAGAAAGGGTATATTGTGTATATTTACATACTGACACCACTTCTACAGGTAGCCCTCAACTTACGATCACAACTGGGACCAGAACTTCCATTGCTAAGTGATGTGGTTGTTAAGTCAGTCATGCCCAATTTTATGATCTTTTTGCCATGGTTGTTAAGTGAATCGCTGTGGTTGTTAAGCGAATCACAGAGTTGTTGAGCAAATCCGGCTTCCCCCATTGACTTTGCTTGTTGGAAGCCCCCTGGGAAGGTTGCAAATGGCGATCACATGATGCTGGGATGCTGCAATTGTCATAAATACATGCCAGTTACCAAATGTCTGAATTTGATCACATGACTGTGGGGGAACTCCAATGGTCATAATTATGAGGACCAGCTGTAAGTCACTTTTTTCAGCACCGTCATAACTTTGAACGGTCATTAAACTAATGGTCATAAGTTGAGGACTACCTGCATATGATTCTTCTCTTCTAATATTTAATGTTAAAGAAACAGATTAAATCTAGTGATATTGGAATAATACATATTCCAGCATTCAAAGATGATCATCATGTCCTTCAATGATGTCTCTGGGTTAAGAAAATAATTTAAAAATCCTGTCCATCACTGCTAATTATGCTAAAGTTGCTCCTTATTCTTCTCCCTCGCCTCAGAAGAATGGCGATTTTTCATTTTCTTTCCTTCTTCCCTTTCCTTCTTCTTTTTATTTTTTATTCTCCAAAATCCTGAAATGAGGACTTCATTTTGTTTTCTTTTATTCATTAAACACTCCATAGAAAGGATAAAAATGTCTATCACCCATCAAGCCAGTCAGAGAAGAACAATCCTTGCTTAGTGGAAGAAATTTCCTTTCTATTTTGATTTTATTCTGAGGACAACAGGGAACAACATCCTCTCTTTCCTTTTCATTATCCAAAAGAGGTTAAGCCAACTTCCATCACACATAAGCCAGCAACACAAGTCAATACAGTGCTATGTGGCCAGGAATGGGGATTTTCTTTCTCTCTTTCTCTTCTCTCCCCCTCAATCTGGAAATTCCTTTTCTTGATTCCCCAGCTAAGCTGTGCCAATTCAAAAGTGTTCCCCTTAGAACATGTGAATGTGTATGAATGCTACATAATCAAATGCCTTGCCTATTTTGCTATGGCAAGAATGCAGGATCTTTTTACATTTATTTATTTTGCTTCTTCCATTTAGAGATGATCTCTTTGTATGCTTCATCACCATGAATTACTTCTCAAAATTCCCTGCCTTTCTTTGAACTCGCTCATCTTTCTCTCATGGAATTTGAATTTAAAATCCTCATAGAGTGTTAATTGTATAATATTCCCGTTACCCTGTACACTGTTAATAATAACTAATTGCCTTTGGTGCCATTAACCCAAATATTATTTAATAAATTGAACTGACTGGATACTGAAGTCTCATTTTTGAACTTTGGAACTCATAACCTTGTTTAATCATCTATAGTGTTCAGTCCTGACAGAATTGTCATGATGGGAGGCCTCATTCTGTTAAGAGTATGGAATGTGAATCCAGCCACAAGTTCTGTTTCATCCACAAGCTTTGGTAAAACAAAAAGATACAAGTCACCAAAAATAGACATGAATGCTCTTCAGTGCCCACCTGCATCAAATATAAAGCTCACCTAGGCACGTCCTAAGTGTGTTGAGGTAGGCAACTTGGTATCCCCAGATATTCTAAACTAAAATTCTCATAAGCTCCAACCAGTACTGCCAGTGATAAGATATTGTGGACTCTGAAACAACTAGGGAGTACTAAATTGACTATGTTTGTTTATGGTGGCTTGTCACAACAATCAAACGTACCGCTAGGGTGAGACCAAGTGCAGCAGAGATGGGCTAATCGCTACACAATAAGTGTTGCAGGAATGGGTGGGAACTGAAACTTTTTTTTTTCCATTTAACTACATTCAGAGATAAATAAGGTGCTACAGCTCACAGGCTGCCAGTTGCTCACTGCTGAGATGCATTTCTCCCACTGAAATGAGCTCCCAGTATTGAAATGGGGTCCTGAGTTAATAAGAGGTACCCTCTTTCTTAGAAATCAGCAACATGAATAATATTGCTTGTCTAGAAAGTCTGGATCTACCCTGAGTTCATAAATTATTTTCCACTATTTCTCTCCCTTCCTGCCCCCGCCCCAATGCTCTAATACATACTGTAGTTCTTCCATTATTTGCTGCACCTCTCGCAGCGCATCAGCTTCCAGATTGTTGATAAGTTCCTTCCGATACCGAACAATAAAAGGGATTGTGTTATCATCATTGAAAAGCTTGATTATGTTGGCACACACCCATTCTTCAATATCGGTCCTTTGCGACAAAACCTGCAACCAACAGTAAAAAGACTCAAGTATGACTTTCTCACGACAGATTCTAAGAACATTAAGCTTGGAGAAGAAATAGTGATGGCTATCGTCTTTCAGCAATCCACTTAATAAGGAATACATCCGAAAATAACTCTTTCTATTTATTCACAAAGTTTACCTACTTTTCATTGTTAAAAACATATCCCCAAAATGATTAAAATGAAAGCTAGGCTGAATCATTCAGCCCAGCTTTTTTCTGCAATTCCTGAACCTCTGAAGAGTGGAAATGCAACAAAATTCTAAGAAATGTTTGTGGGAGGGTCTTCATCATTATAAAATGTACTTGAAGATTCTCTTCCTCAGATGATAGTTACTTTTTAAAAACAGTATGGAAAACAACTAGTGGTTGTTACTCATCTGAGTGGTGAGTCTTTTAGCACAGTATCGTAACTGCATTTTCTGGGGCTATGAAAAATGCTATAGAAAAATGCTCATGGGGTGTTGTCAGTCCAGTTTCAGATGTAACAGTTGGTAATCTTTTGAGCTAATGGCCATAATCCAAATGTTGAGAGCCTGTCCTAGCATGCCTACAAAATGTCTGCTACAGTGGGTGTGGTCAGGAGCAAGCAACCATCCATTTACTAGAGGAGCTGTTCTGTACACTTTCTACACTTCAGCTTATTTTTCACTTTTTCCAGCACTTTGGGTTCATCAATGTTGGGAGTTTTGGGGTGGGGGGAAGAGGTTAAGTTTCTTGGAAATAAATAAAATCATTGATGCGGATATTTGCTAGAATGGCAATTTCCTTAAAAAAATAAAATTACATTATGTCAAATGTTATATTTTTAAAAAAATTAAAAGAAAAATAAAGTTAAACAGTTCCAGCAGCTGAGAAAAATGTTCATTGTATAATGGGGGCCCATAGCACTAAGCTGCCTATCCACACTCTAGGAAACGTGTGAGATGCTGCACAGAGAGCTTCACCACCCACCCAAAACAGCAATGATTAGTGCTTTTTTTTTTTAAAATTAGAAGACAAAGAAGAAACAGAAGGAACCCTCATTCATCTGATAAAACAATGATAAACCATTCTTTCCCCAATTTTTAAAGACACTGCATAAGTTCCCCAAAGCACTCAGAAAACTGAAACCTCCCTCTCATTTCAGTGTGGTAAAATATTTCCTTGGAGCTGGAATGTATTTTTAGCATTGCACATAATAAAAATGCTATATTTCTTATGAATAAATATTTAAAATTGTAAGCCAAGTTAAGAGTAACAAGACAGATTGTTTTTTTTTTACCATTTTTTAAATCCTGGAGTATTTTCTAATCTTTGACCAGCAAAACTTGGAGTTATGGTTCCAAAAGAAAAAAAAAAGTCTTTCATAATTTTTCTTCTACTTACAAATAACAAAATAACTTATTTTGATATTTTCTTGTGAAACTCAATACTAATTGTAACCTTCCTGCACCATAGCTTATAAATTCTCATTATAAAGAGGGAAGACAATGTGCTTTGTTTTATAAAAATAAAGACAGACCAAATTACTTTCTGGAATACATCCAGAAGAGCTATTATATACCACAGAAATAAAATGCATTTACAACTTCACTCCAGAGTGTTCCCTCCAGCAGTACAGGTGTTAGATTTGTTGTAAAAAGAAAAATATCACAAACCTGCACAATGTCCCAGTTCATATTGTGATCCTCATTTAGTTTGCCACTTGCAACATTTTTTACACGATTCTCCTGAGGACATCCTGTTTTAAATTTTTTTAAGGGAGGTTCATCAAATGTAAAATCCTCCCCAGACTCTTCCACCTTGACTTCTCTTTTAGACACTGTAGCACTTGTGGATGGCTCCTCCGCATCTTCCAAGCCAGGTTCACCTTTAATGCTGCTAACTTTTTTCACTGGGAGCCTTTTGGCTGAACATCTCACATTGACATTTTCCTCTTTCTTCAGCCACGGTAATGTCATTTTTTCCTTTCCTCCAGGTGTGGCAATAGGCAGAGATGTGTCCTAGTTGAATCACCGAAACATGTTAAGGAGCGTTAGTACTGTCTACAGCCAGCCTGGACATAAACAGCACCAACAGCTTAGCCGCAGACAGTCGTATCCTTTAGGATGGTGGAGAAATGGAACTAATGTCCCTGAATGGAGAAAAAGCTACTATAAATATCAGCATTCTCCTTAGTAAAATATAAGTGCAGAAAACATGAGTGCCTCATGAAAGACCTTTGTTACTGTCACTGACTACAGATCAACAATCAGAAGCATCTGAAGATAACTGCTCTTAAAGCTAACATATTTTCTCTTTTAATCCAAGATTCAAAATCAGATATGAATCTGTTTTCGGACACAAAGTTGGAATTTAAAAAACGATTAGCCCTAATAAGATTTAATTGCTTGCTAGCGTAACAAATAATTGCAATTAAGAGTGACATGCATCACAAATTTTGCTGTGAGAGAACAGAGCCTGCTTCAATTCTAGCACACGAAACAAAGTGAGTGAACAGAAAAACACAAATGTAAATATTTTGTGTGTGTGTGTGTGCACACCAGCATTATTTGGGACTGTCTCTTCCCAGCAGTTTTTGCCTATCCAGTATGATCTGGAAGGGAAGACTTCCTTTGGGTCCTTACTCAGAAGGAAGGGAACACAATGGTGAACCTTGCCTTCTCTGTTGCTACCCCCCTTCTTTGGGGCAGCATTCCTCCCAAGAAGGGACTGGCACCAATCCTGTTAGGGGTTTAGGAAAGCCATCAAAATCTAACTGTTCCAAAAGGCCTTTGGGAGCCAAAAGAGGTAGTCCTTGATTTATGACCATTTGTTTAGTGACAGTTCAAAATTACGATGGTACTGAACCAGGGGGACTTATGATGGGTCCTCGAAGTTCTGGCCATCACAGCGTTCCCATGGTCAAATGATCATGATTTCCTACGTCCCCTGCTGGCTTCCCACAAGCAAAATCAATGGGGAAGCTGGCAGGAAGTTGGAAGTCGCAGTCACATGAAGTCCTCACTTAAAAAACGGCAACCAGGAATGCCAGAATTGCTGTCGATAAGCAGCATGGTCACATGACATAGCACTTTACAACCACATCACTTAGCGATGGCAATTCTGGTCCCAATTGCCATCATACGTCGAGGACTACCTGTATTACTGAACTCCCTTCAGCAAGGCTTATATGGGTTTTGGTTGTTATTCCTTGATACAACATGATGGTATGATGTGAGCAAATTATTATTGCTACTCTATTTATGGTAAAAGCTTCAACATACACCCCTAAGATTCAAATGCATATACAGAATCTCATGCTTCAAGGAACTTTACATCAATTATACTGGACAAATAGTAGGTTAATCTGACTCAGGAAAAAAAAACATAGGGCAGATTTTGCTTGCATAAGTTCAGTGTACATGCATCTGGAGTCCCCTTTTGGTTGTGCCTTTTCTATTCCAATAAATAAGATAATTTAGAAGTTTCTAGGTAAGTCAGATTGTTGGATCTATGCAGCATGTTGGATCTATGTAGAAAAACTAAGCCAAATCAGGGGAATTTGAAAAAGTGACACATACCTCCACAAGATAGTTTTCATTCTCTCTTACTCTCTCTCAAATACTTTGAAAACTAAATGGCTTCCTAGCTTCAGTTACCTACCGGCTCTTCTTTCATTGCTGGCTTCTTAGTACCTTTCCTAGCCACAGCTGATTTCTTCTTGGTCAAAGAATTTTTTTCAACTCTTGGCACTTTTGGTTTTGGCATTCTGGCCTTACATGCGACTTCCTTTTTGGGGTCCCATTCCTCTTCGTATTGTTCATCTTCTGATTCTGAAGATCTGTATAAAGATATGGGGAAGTTTGTTATAAATGGAATTATACATACCACTGTTGTTAAAAGTAGTAGGTCTCAACGTTTAAGCAAAAGAGTTGGATGTATTTACAGTATATACTAAAATGTATATATTGTTCTAGTCAAAAGACTTGGGTGGCTCACAATTACATAGTCTAAATTCACAATCAATAAATGAATTCATGCCACAAAAATATCAAAACCCATGGTGAAATAAAAGACATAATGTATATTATTTATAACAAGAAGAGATAGAATGCCAATCACACTTAATTTGTGTGCATTACTGCCTATCTCTAGAACAGTTTTCCCAACATGATATCCTTCAAATGTGTTGTGCCTAGTAATTCTAGAATTCCTCAGGGAACAAGCTGATACCAGTATAGCCTTCCAAGCCAACTGCAGCCCACTGGCAATATAACATGGCCTGTCAGCTGCAGGGGGAGGAAATTGGGATGTCACAAATTACCCAGGTCTGCCAGTGAGATTTATTGAATTCATTAAGTGACTGGGTTTATACTCTTACACTAAAAAATAAGCATATCGTATGAACCCAGCCAATTGTGTTTTATTTAATAAACTGTAGTTCAGCAAATGATGGTTTAGGAGATCATATGAATTCATTCTACAGCTGAATTCCATCAAGAAATGTAGCCAAACCTTTAATCAACTTTTAACATTCTCAGGAAGGCTCCAGAATTCTAACATAGCCTACTAAGGCTGATATCATTTCTGCAGTAGGGCCAATAGCTCTCTATCTATTTATGCTCCAGGCTTACCATATGATTGCTGGGGGCGGGGGGTATAAAACACCTGTCTTTTCAAAGTTCCCATAATGTTCTAGAAGGAAATTTCACCAATGCATTGTAGATACAATGGTAGGCAGCTAGTAGCCTCTACTGCCACTAACAATCCTGCTGGAGAAGCACTGCTGTAAGAGAAGCCACTAAAGTTACAAAATTTTAAGCAGTTACACATAACCTTGTTTTCTATTTTGAGCTTGCAATCAGTCCATTTATTCAAGCATTTTTGTAATCAACCCATAGCCAACTTTCTCTGCATAAATTTCACAAAACTAAAAGAATAAAAAACACAACAAAACCAGCAGCAGCATATGACATGGGTGGACAGATATAAAGTGCATAAAAACAGCCATTCTTGCAATTCTGGGCCTAAATTCCATAGCTGGAAAATAGCAGACATTATAACTTGCATAGATAAATTGCATACTTGTATTTATCCCTTTTTTTTCTCCTTTCTTGTTTTCATCTCGTGAGCTCACGGTAGAGGAAAAGCCAAACTCAGGAACACTAAACATAGTGAATCAACATGCACAAGATTCTGCTGTTCCTCTGCCGCTCTTGCTCTTCTTTCAAACTTCTTATGATTTTGTTAGGCTTTATGAACAAGTCAAGATAGTCAGGTAAATAGGTAGAATCAATGTATGTACACACTTATGCCTGTACATCTTTGTCAATTCCAAAATCCTAGAAATATCATTTGATGTTGCCCTAGTACCATATTCAGGTACAAGGATTGAATAGAAATTAAAACACACTGAGCATAAATTTTAACTCACGATTTAAGGAAGGAAGGCAGTTCATCTCCTGAAATACTTGGTTTTGTTGCAGTTCTAGTCCGTTTTGAGAATGCTGACATCTGAGGAAAGAAAAACAATTTTATCAGTGAGTTTTTCCCCATTCCTAGCAGACTGCAAAGAATACTTCAGTTGCACAGTCCCAACTGCAAAGGTGAATATGCATCTTTGAAATCTATATTATCAACAGATTCTGTACTGAGAATGGAAAAATCTGTTCTGATTTTATATACATCTGAAAGCAACTTCACAGCAATAATATTCCCCTATCTTTCACTGCCTTTCATCTTCTCTGTGTGTTGATCTTTAAGTAATCAATAGTACCATCAATGCACAAGAAAGAAGTAGCTATAAGCAAGGAAGGATCACCTTGGGATTATGACTAAAGTCTTAGATGGAGAACATGAGAAATTTAAATCTCCATTCAGCCAGTCAGCCTAACAGACTTCACTGAATTCTGGAGAAGATAACATGAAATAACTTATTTATTTCTTAAGAAAAGTGAGATAAGAAGGAAATTAAGAAATTGCAAAGTTTGTAGTATGGGGGCGGGGGGCGGGATCCAAAGGGGAGGTAAAACAAAACAAAGGGGAGGGATAATGAAGATGGAATGTGGCTAGTGGCCATAAAATGCAGATCATGAAGGAGAAGACAGGAGGAGAGGGAATAAAGATGCACTGTACATTGCAACTTTTTGTTGCTGGTCACACAGAGACTACTGCATATCTGTATCCATGCACATATTAATTGTCAAATTCAGATTGTATTTGATGAAGCAGTTCCCAGCCCCTGAAAGCTTAAAGCACCAAGAGATTGTTATTTCATTTTAGGAAAGTATTTAATGCATAAGCTGTGAGAAAACAAAGTTGGGCATTCTGCTCAAGCAGCAATAACCACTGGGGATTACTCCAAACCAGAGGTTCTCAAACATTTTGGTCTAAGGACCCTTTTACATTCTTAAAAATGATTGAAGACCTCAAAGAGCTTTGGTTTATGTGGGTTTTATCTATCAATATTTACTGCATTAGAAATTAAAACAAAGAAAATTTTAAAATATTTGACTACATGGACCCCATGAAAGGGTCTTGAGACCACACTTTGAGAACTACTGCTCTAAACTAAGCTGTCCACAGCTCCCATGCATTTGGGAATGACATAATCCAAGGTGGATACTTTTGATTTAACCTAGATATACAGAGAATTCACTTAGCCCCAAGAGAAGGCCAGATGCCAAAAGAGGCAAGTACCCTTGCCTTAAAGGTCAGCTGCTGGAGAGCAAGGGTGGCAGAGAGAGCTGTAGCCCTTCACCCTGTGCTTATGAGCCTTTTATAAAAGCATCCAATTGCCCACAAGCATCTAGGGGAAGGCAAGCAGGGGCAAATGACCATGAATAATGACATCTTCAGGCCAATGATGCAACTTACTACTTCTGCAAATACAATTGCATCATTATATAACCACATCACTTGCACGATGACATCACAACACACATGTTATTTTCAGATGTTTTGGGCTTGTTACAGATTCATTGCAACTGGTCATTGAATAACATAAAACACTAACCAGATGGGCTTTTGTCATGGTCTAGCCTAGCATTTTGCATGCTCTTGTGTTTGTAAGGAGAAAGAGCCTCTGGAAGGCACGTCTTATTAGTATGCATGGCCCGGAGCATTGGAAAACAAATTCTAAGGCAACGACTCCTCGTCCTGGATATTTCATAAACCAGCAAAAATCGCGCAACCCCGAGGATAACGAAAATAAACATTTTTTATTATTATTTCAAAACAGACCCATAGCAACCCTCATGAACCCAGCAGCCCTAGAGGTTTCCAAGAGGCACCTCCCTGAACGCCACCACCTCCCCACTCACCTTTTTGTAGCTTTGGCTGCGGGAGGATGCGAAATTCCGCTGTTTGCTTCTCCTTCCGTTTTATCTGCCTGCGTTCACATTTAAAACCGGCGCCAGCAGCGACTACAGCAAAACCCAGGCTTTCAAAGCCGAGGAAGCGGCAATCTGACAGAAAGGAAGTACGCATCGAAGAAGCTCCGGAACCCGTCGGGTTGTAATGAACTCCCGAAGGCCGGCCAGGGAATTCTGGGAGTTGAAGTCCAGATATCTCAAAGTTGCCAAGTTTGGAAAACCTTGGATTAGCCGGTGACCGAAGGCGGCGGGAGCGGCGGCCCTGAGTTTCTGCAGACGCTCCTGCGAAGCGGCGTCTAACGTGATGTTGATGAAGACCATCTTCCTCTGTGCCCATCGGGTCTTGCTTCGTAATAAGTGTGTCTTGAGGACTTGCGAGAAAGCTAACTTCTAACAGAAAATATTCTTGCAGCTTCCCCGTTTGGCCACCAGGTGCTACTGTTTGCTAGGCATTCCAGTCTGGAGCACCCGCTGCTCTAAGGCACTGCTCGTTATTTGTTTAATAGAGGTACGCCTCGCCTGTTCTCTAGGAGTTCAACATCTGCCTCCATGTTCTTCCTAGGCAATAACTCTGGGAGGTTCAACAGGGTTGAAACGACAACAACTGGCTGACTCAGAGTCACCCAGTGGGTTTCCATGGTGGAGAGTGAACGTGAACTCACATCTCTCTTATCCTAGTCATCTTACAGCAATGAGCTTGGGAAAGGATAAATCAGAAAGAAGTACCAAGAGTGTTGGTAAAGAGAAGGGCACAGCTTTTGTGCCGTTTCCCAACTCTACCTCTGCAAGTCAGCTGAATGCAGCAGCCTCCACAACCCACCTCAGCTGGGCTTCAGCTGAAAGTATAGTAGCTGGAAGGAAAAAGTACTAGTGGGGGCTCCTTTGCTCGGTCAGATCATCTTCCTCTCTGGAACCAGGGAAACAATAATGGGGGGGGGGGAGCTGCCTAGGAATCACAGGGGAGGGGTTAAGCCTGCATTAGTCTGAAATGGCCAATACATGCTGGGTAGATCCTGTCTGCTATCAGCTACCTGATTTCACCACTAACAGAATGGACAACAAAAGCACATCAGATTTTATGCACCTTACAATTGCTGCTGGTTGAATTTGGCTTCAAGAGGAAATTGATTGACCAATTGATTATATGCCATCAAGTCTGTGTTGACTCAGCAACCACATAGATTTTCTCCATGATGATCTGTCCCTAAACTGGTCCTTCAGATTTTCCAACGGTGCACCCACTGCTACTGTAACAGTCCATCCACTTTGCTGCTCGTCTTCCTCTTCTTTTTTCCTTCCACCTTTCCCAGCATTAGAGCCTTCTCCAGGGAGCTAGATATTCACATAAAACATCCAAAGTAAGAAAATTTGAACCTAGTTATTTGTGCCTCAAGTGAGAATTCTGTGTTGTTCTGTTTAATGATCCATTTGTTTATTTTCATGGCTGGCTGATATTCTCAGGAGTCTTCTCCAACACCAAAGTTCAAAAGTGTCAATACTCTTCCTATCCTGCTTCTTCAAAGTCCAAGTTTCGCTTCCACAGAGTGTCACAGGGAATACCACTGCACTATTCTGATTATTGTAGGTATAGACACATCATGGCATCTGAGTATCTTTTTTAGGGCCTTCACGGCTCCTCTACCAACTGCTACTCTGCAGTGTATTTCTTGACTGCTTGTTTCTTTATTGTTGATGATTGATCCTAAAAGGCAGAAGCTATCTACCACATCAATATCTTCATTGTCAGTTCTAAGGCTGGTGGTTGTACCTGTTGTCATTAGTTTGGGCTTCTATATACTTAATTTTAGTCCTATTTTTCGTTGTGCTCCTTGACATTTATTACTAGAACTTGCAGGTCCTCTGCATTTCAGCTAACAGAGTAATATCAGCATAGTGCAGGTTATTGATGCTTCTTCCTCCATTTTTTTTCAATTTTATTTATTTCATTAAATTTATTATGGTCTCCCTAAAAGTGCAAGAAAGGGAAAAAAAGTAAAAGAAAAAATAGAAAAGAAAGAAAAAAAATACAAAGAAGTAGCTTTCAATCTTCTTTACAGCACTTATAAGTACAATTATAAATTTACCTCTTACTCTGTGGTTACAACATAGCTCTCTTCTTTC